TCCATCAAGTTAGAGGGGTGACTGCATTCAATTTCGATTTTTTCCAATTCATTTTTCACCGGTAGGTTCACCCGCTCTTATCTATGGGATTTTAGGGTAGTTCAACATTATATTCTTTAGAAAAGACTTCGGTTCTGGAAGCGGATTAAGGGGGATGAAATGACGGTACAGCTCTTGGATTCCTTCATTGTCCCGAAGGACACTGTTTCAATATCTGGGACCACAAGCAGCTCAATTGGCTATGAGAAGTTTAGTTTTGCTACTATAAAAATATTTTTATTCAACCCTACCGTTGTCCATAATGGGGGATTTTAGATTGTCTTGTCAATTATGAGTTGCGGCAAGGTGAATGTATGGATTCCTCACGACGAAGGAGCACGATTCAAGTTGGACCCCACTCGACATCTTGACAGAGTACGTATTGAGGTGATGAATCGCATTTATCCCTGTACACGTTACATTTTCAGCGATACGCGTTTCACGCTGGATCCACAGTTCACAATGGTATGTGGGCATCTGCTCATCCAGAAGGTGAAAACAATACGGATGCAGTCATTGTCTGGGATACTTCCGAAGTTAGTGTCTAGCAATTTTCGTTCTTATGAACCATATCAGTTTTGTGTTCTAGATGAGGGAAGTGGAAGCGTTGCGAACGGATGGCCGTGTCCATTCTGTTGAGTTCGACGGTAAAGGTCATTTGGTGTGTGCCACCGACAAGTCCGTGAGATGTTGGAGGCATGTGGCGTTGAGATTCGAATTCTTGTGGGTGGTTGAACAGTCCCTTCGAGTACATGTGTCTCCCTTAGGAGCCTTCGCCTGGTCCGAGAAAACAGGTGATTCCTAGAGTTGCTTTAGTTTATTCTTTAATTTACAATAATCGCGTATCTCACTCTCTCATCTACTGATACAGTACTTGCTCTGGTGGTTGGGGAAAGAATAAGATAACACTTGCTTTTATTGCCGCTTTTGGATTGTTGGGAACAGATGGGAGAGGTCGTTTCAGTGGATAACAGGAATTCATCCTTACATTTGCTCCTGCATCGATCTCTTCAGTTTTTGTGA